CGACGAACCCATGGCCGGTCACCTGAGTGGCTCGAAAGTTTTTGCAAACTGAGCAATGTTGTGACCTGGCCCGGCACGAAGCGTGGCTTTTATCGCTATTCCGTGCCTGCCACGTCTGACAAACGGTTGAGCCAAGGGTTGGAAAGCCGCCCGGTCTTATGAACCGATTGTCAGTGAGCGTCCGTGGCGCGTACTAGCTGAAAGATCCCCTTTGGGAAAACTCAGCCGTGCCCACATCGCAGACCTGAAGCCCTTTGTCACGGTCTGACGAGCTCGCGCCAGTGCCCTGCGGCACTTCGCGCAAGCAACGGGCACACCCGGAGCGGCGGACCGCATTCGGACCCCGCACCGGTATAATCTGAGGAAGCGGTCACCTTTGTGATTTCGCGCCGGACGGCGGACTTCTCCGCAACCGAAGGCCCTCAGTTTACTGTCTAGCCTCAGTATACGTTAGCTTCTTTACGGCCTTTTCTCGTAAAGAAGTTGACCCCGCTCTGTCTGCTGCCAGTGTTTCTTTTTTTTTTTTTTTGAAGTGTTCATGTGTATTTTGTTTCTTTTGTCTAATATTAAGTGATATTTGTATTTTATGTTTTTGTCAGATGTTGAGTGTCGTTTTGCTCTGTTTTTACTTTTTTTTCCGTGTTCGTTTCGTCTATCGCGAAGGGAGCTGTGTGTGACCTTGTGTGTCGGTGCTTGCCGGGGGAGAGAGAGACGAAGGACGCTTTGCACCTACGCTCGCGCAGCTGTCGGCGGTGTGTGTGCGTGCGTGCTTCCGTGCGTGTGTAAGTGCGTGACGCTTCAGTGCGAGCCCGCGAAGAGTGCGTGATGGCTTCCCCCCATCGATGCGGACGCTGGAGGTGCTGGGGGGTCATTGACCCACTGACGTCAGACCGTCTGGCTGTGCTCTGCTCTCGGCCGTCGCCGAAGAAGCCACGCTGCCTTTCCCACCATGGCTCCTGCGCGAGGCCAGCTGAAAGCAGCTATATGCTGCCGGCCAACGCCAGGGCGCCTCGCAGCCAATTTTGGTTCGGCCTCCCTGACCACCGGAGAGGCCCGGCTTCCCGCAACGTCCAGCTTCGTCATCGAGCCGGAAATGCGGGGCCTCCGAACAACCGAAGCGGCTTTCGTCGGACTCGCGGCTTATCAAGAGCAGCAACAAGCCATCAGTGAGCCCCCTTCCGGTACCTGTGACCTCGCACTCGGGCATCGCACCCAGCGGACACTGTCACGTCTTTACCGCACCTCCGCGCACTGGACGCTATCCCCCTTTAGCACCACGAACACTAGTGCCACGTTGCTGTGCTCCCTTCTGCAGTATCTCTATAGTGTCGTGTGTTTATTTTGTTATTTATGTTTTTGTTTCTCCTTTGTAATCATATTTTTTTAAAGTAGCAGGGCTGGACTGAGGTTAGCTACCGCTCATTGCAGTGTCATTTTAACTGCATGGGTGACGTCCGGCTGCCTTTTGCAGACCGGTAAAGGACAAGTTTAGGAGAGGGGGATGTGGGAATTGAGGCTGGCCCGCTGCCTTTGCGCGGGCTTTCCTGCCTTTCTGCCATTCTCATGTCCCGACATGTCTGCCCTCCTTTGCTGTCTGACTGTGGCGCCGCGCGGGGAGCCTCCCGAGAGGTTTTCGCGCGCTGCGTCGGGAGCGGGGAGTACAGTCCGGGACTTCAAACGGTGAGCCACGCATTCTTTTCCGTCCGTCGAGTCCCGTCGCTCGGGGCTCGTCGGACTTCGCTGACGGCGCCTTGCGCCCGATGCGAACGCTCACCTTTTGTTGCCCCGCTGCGTACTCACGGCCGAAGGGCAGTACGGTGTCCTAGTGCGTGGCCTAGCTACGCCGACCCGTCTCCCTTCGAAGCCAACGCGAGCGCCTTTGCCCTCGCTCGAGCAACCGGGCCCCTTTGTCCCGGTGTCTCCGTGGATTACCTTTACCGCGGAGACGTGCTCGTGGCACCCTGTGTAGTACTTTGTGCCCGTGGCGTGGATAAGCCTATTTGCTTTCCCGCCGCGTCTTTTTTGCAACGGGCTGTACTGCGTTTGGTGTTGCCACAATAAAGTGTTGCGACTTGAGCAGTATCGTGTTTCCCGCCACGGCGACGGTTAACGCGTGCCCTGCGGCTCGCTAAGACCGGACCCACGCTGGTGGCCGTACTCCTTCGGGATACGTGTACACCACAATGTACATTTAGTGTTTCTGTATGGACATATCTTAAAATAGACTTGCGTTTGTCCAACAAACCCCCAGTTTGAATGAATCAGTGCTCTGAATTAAGCAGTTCACGAGGATCAAGCAATACTGCATGAGGCTTTTGCCGGCTTTTCAGGTTTTGTATTGTGTTGATTTATCACTACGGTGCCATAGTGCATCGAAAGTTTGGCTGTTCATGCAACGTAGGTTCCCAGTTCTTTACTCTGCTGTGTAGCTTACTCAGGCTGTGTTTTCACTGTCCTTCTTTATTGTCTTCACTGTGAAGGCGGAAGCCTGAGATGCCTCATTAAACGTGAAAATTGACTGACTGCATCCTGCGCCGGTGGTGTCAACATGTGACGAAGAAATTATCTTCCTGTATTCCTGGCGCATTGACATCGGAAAATGGCTTTCCACGCTTTTACAGCTTGCGCATGTTTTGTGCATTACCGTATTTAATCGCCTGATGAATGCACTCACGTAATAAGCACACCCCCAGCTTCAGTTATATAAATTTGTTTTTTTCCCCCACGTAATAAACGCACTACCTACATTCATCCGCTGCTGTCCCACTAACCGACACCTGGCACCTCCTCACGCGTCAGATCTCTTTCGTTTTTTATTATTTTGCCGACCTCTTCCCCCCCCCCCCCCTCCGGCTACCTCAGCTCGCTTCCCACTGTCGCCCACTGCCATGCGTGAATACTTTTTCCTTCTACCTGTGCGCGGCACGTACCCGTCTTATCTGTGTGCCACAGCGGGGTTCACGAACGGTGCGAAAGTAGAGACATCGTAGCTGATAAGCACACAGAGAGGGAAGGTCACAAAACGGCTCCCGCCAACCAATCGAGGGTGGCTTCCTGCGAATACGAAAAAGCCCAAGCACGTGCACGCGCTTTTCGAGCGAGAACGACAGGAATTGCTGTCGCGAAAGGTCACTCGTCATAAAAAAATCTCTTGTCGTCCAGGAAAAATCGTGACGATTTCCGTAAAACAGTAGCACCCGTTGCTTCGCTTGTTATCCGTGCGTAGAGGAACTTCTCATGTAGAAGCAAGGCGGCAGCTGTATGTTGTCGTTAATCTTGTTATCGATGGTTTGCTTTGATACTTCGGGGTTAGCTTGCTACAATGCTTGTTACTTGCTACAATAACTCGCTCGTCGTGTGAGGTTGCCACGGAGTTGGCAGAGTGCGTCGTAGCGCATGCTTTTGGGCACCCCTCGAAATCACCACTGCAGCGGTTAAACGATTGAAAGAAAAGATAGCCGCGAAATGCTTTTATGGCATGCGCGGGCGGCTTGGGAACAGCTTGCAGAAGATAGCGCCATCAACCACCGAAGATGAGTAAAATGCAACAAAGGAGCTTTTTCTAAACAGTGTGTGACGCCTATGTAAACTATGAAAAGCTGAGCGACCAAACTTTTTTTTTTTTTTGCAATACCACATTTTTCGCTCCTCCCGAAAATGTTTTCATAAAATTTGCTCCGCATAATATAAACGTATCCCCCAACTTTGCTCTGATTTTTCCAAAAAAAAAAGTGCATTCATTACGCGAGTCAACACGTTATTTTGTGCGTCCTTTTTTTTTTTTGCGCTGTCATCCTAGCAAGCTTTCATTGGTAGTGCTGAAATCTCTGGTCCGAGCAACAAATCTGTGCTTTGAATATTTCAAGCTGTGAGGAGCTGCATGAAGTTCTGTCTGTTTGGCATTTTAGCTCTTCGCTTTTAGTCTTCTCAATTACTGTATAAAAATAAACGGCGATCATTTCACTCATCGAGGTTCTTTATTACTGGCATGTAATCAGGAAGAGGCAACTAGTATACTCATCGTCTTTAACGGCGACATTATCCGCAGCAGCTGTGTCAAAGAGGCTCATGCACAGTGTCAGTGCAGCTTCGACAGTTTCCAGCTCAGCTGCTAGTTCCCGGCGATGCTTGGTGGGCGAGCGAGCTCTGGACCTTTTTGCACTAGACAAGTACGCCGGGTGGTCGTGGAAAATTCTTGGCACATCGTCCAGCAAACGTTCTGGAACATCGCGCGTCGTCTTCACTACAACTCATCCGATTAGCCACTGGTTCGCTCGAAAGATCTCGCTCTCACCGAAGTGCTTTTTGCACACACTCAATTGGGAAACCACCAGTTTCTTGTCGTGGACTTGCCCTTCACCGTTTAGCAGCCAGCACATGATTTTTTTTTGTCATTTCTCTTGTAATTGGATCGACACCGATGCATGCAGCATGTACGCGGCATCCATTTCGATCCTCAGGCACAACACGCACAACACCGGGCATACAACGAAAAGCGCGCAGGACATGCCACGGTATGCGGCCTCCATTTGCAGCGCACAAACCTCTCCCATAGATTTAGGTTGAAGCTTCATGACCAGTAAAATTATTTAAGGACTCTTTTAACACTGCAGGTGTACCTATTAGTATGCTGAAGTTTTCCTTGTTCTTTCCGATAGCGGCATTCCAAAGGCAGATGGAGGGCACTATATACTTGCTTTTTACACTCCAGCACCTCACCTGTGCTCTTAGAAACACCACCATTGTGTTTTGCCAGAGCTAATCGTGGAGGCAGTGGTTTCACAGCATGAATCTCCTTCCCAAGATGGCCTCCCCAACTATACAGGGTACATCACGCAGAGTTGTGCCTAAGATTGGGGCTAGTGTCGTCTCCTGGCAATCTGCTTCTGTTTATCACCTTTTTATGCTTACACTTACTGTTGATTAAGGAAAAGCCAGCCATTTTCTTTCTTTTTCGAGTATGATTTCCTAAGAACTTTATTCATTTGCATCCACCACAGGTGGGAAGATGGGCCAGTTCAGCTGCGAGACCTGAGAGCGCGGCAAGCGCCCATGAGCGATGACGCGCCTCTCGTGTTCGCAGCGGTGGACCAAGGCCAAGTGCACCTGTATGCGTACGACGTGATGGAAGTGCCGCGTTTCTTTCCATCATCCTAGTCTCAGAGCGGGGTGTTACTTTGTTCTGTTGATGTGAAATCATTACAACACCTCATTATTGCTAGGGAGTGAATTTTCCGGATTGCCGTCAAATTTCAAACCAATCTCCAAGCTGTGCACTTTCGCCAGGACAATAATTCCCCATTAAGCCAGCATCCAATTAGAGCAGCTGAATCACTGCCGCTTTTTTTTTTTTGTGTGTGCCTCAGCGGGAGAGCAGTCAAAGAAAGAAAAAAATGTTTGACGTCTAGACGACGTAGGTGCCGTTTCTACAGTGCTCGAACTTCAGTCTGTATTGTTCTCGAGTAAATCCTATAATGTTGTGAAATTTCTTTATGCTACGTCAATAAAGTATTTTTGTAGTAGTGTTGACTGAAACAATCGTCAATACATGAGGCTCAAAGCAGTCGTGTTAATTTTAAAAAATAACGCTAGTGTATACGTTGGATATCAGCTATATGCCTGACTGCCTTCTGGCTTCAGCTGTTGCTGGTTAACAAACAGTGCTTAGTATACCCCTAGTACAGATTAGATAGCGCATCCATGGCTGCCAAGCAATCAGCTTGACGCACGATAGTGTTTCCGGGCAACAGCAGCTGCTGTGCTGTGGTACGTTTATTATTTTACTACTGTAAAATAGATCAGAATGGAAGTATTGCACTTTAATTTAAAGGTTCAGCCTCACTTTGTTTTGGTGTATGCAACTTTATAGTGCATGTTTAATATGTTGATTTGTTGGAGAAACTGTATTTGTGATATTGTACTTGCATCTCTGTAACGTTTCTGTGTGCCTTTTTTTTTTTCATGCATGGACACTCGTGTGCATGTATCGTCAGCCAACTCATGGAAGAAAAGTGTTTGCAGCGTTATTTCTTGTTTCGATTTCACAGTACTTAAGAAGTTTTGTTACAAATGCAATAAAACAGTGAGACCTTCCTTTTTTGGGCACGCAATTTGAGAGATATGAGCTGATGCACTGCATTTTGAGCGAATCTTGTATTGTTTTTCAGGTGTCAAACTTGTTTTCGCGGCTAAATGAATGGCTTGATACATAGGCAGAGATGTTAGCTTCTCATTTGATTAGCTGTAGATGTGACCTTCTTGCATGCTGTGCACTTCAGTCAATAACCACAGGCATTTAATTAATTTGGTGTGAAGTGACGGGTGACCATGTCAGGCGGAGATATCAATTTTCAGCCTTATGCGCTATGCATTTTCTCGCATTCAGTGTGGTCAAGCCACACAAAGCAATGAGTCTAAATCGCTGCTTCACTTTAGTGTGCCCTTGAATGCTCTTGAACAAGACTGCGTACCTGTTCGTTGAACACCTGCAGCTTTTCTATTACAGCACCGTTTCTAAATATTGCTGCGAATGCACATTTATTACAGATTGCTGTATACAGTAGCCAGATCACAAGGTCGTGGTTGATGAATCGAGTTGAGGTTAATTTAGGAACACTTTAGGATTAGACCAGCTGTTACAGACATAACTTAGGAAGACAAATGTTGGGATCAGTGCCAATGAATTAGCGTGGGTAATTTTTTTTGGAGGGGGGTGGCAGAAGCTATGTTGCTGGCTATTGTTAAAGTATTCACTTCTTCCATTGTGCGACTGCATAAACTGATGGCGCTGAAGAGCCAGTAGTGATGTGAAAATGGGAGTCATCTCTACACCATTCTAAGTATACAACGGAGTGCCTTGTACTCTGTTTTATACTCAGGAGTAAATAATACTCCAGTTTATTCTTGAAATGGAGTAATTTGTACTGCATGTTATTGTTGAAACGGTGTAAAGAGTACTCTGTATAATGCTTGGCAGACAATTTGGTATGTAAACTACGCTGAAATCACTGTAAACCGAGTACAAAATTGAGTGACGAGTACGCCTTAGTATGGCAACCTTGCAAACTGTCGGTGTAACACTCATTTGCTCCATTTTCACAACTTCATCGACCGAGGATGTTGAGGAGCTCAGACTGTTGTGGAGACTGAAGTTGGCACCTATGCAATGGAACTAAAAAAAAAAAAAAAGTTTAAGAATTTTGTTTGTTTGTCAAGACATTTCAGTGAAGCATAAAGGGTGTACTTCATGGCACCTTAACTTAGAGAACCTATTCACTTTTAATCGAAACACAACTTATTGTTCAACCTTCTCACAGTGTAGGGAACATTGGTGAAAGTTATGTGTACAAATGTATCTAAATAAATAAAGTAGCCCCATACTTCTTATATGGGTGAGCAGCGAAAATGGCTAGTTTCAAGCTTTGTCCTTCGGCTTTTACATAGCCTGTTTGAGATGTATGATGTTGTTTCTCAGTTCTCCTTTGTGCCCAAGAGAACTGAGAGCCTGAGGAAAGTGGTCCAGAAAGCAAGCCAGAAAGTGCGTATCTACAGGTTAACACGGACCATAGGTGGAGTTGTGGTAATATCGTGTGCCAACCTCTCACAACTCGTTAGTCCTCAATGATAATGTTTACTGAGATAATTATAATTTTTTTATATTTGAGCTTCTTATAAGGGCTGCTTTTATAATCTCTCCACAATTTTTGTGAAATTTTCAGTGCCTTTAGAAGGAACGCTCACAAGTACTTGGAAAACTGTGCAACCTTTTTTTCTATTGCTATTTGGCAATGTAAAAGTTTATGTGAGCAATTACTCTTTGAAATACAAGCAGTAGCACTCCTGTGATTAGCATGTTCATCATAAGTTACTTGTTATTCTTTTACCTCCTTTTTTTCTCAGTTTGAATGGTGCAACATTTCAAGTCACATATACTTTTAAGTAGCCATCACGCACACCTATTCAAGTTACTGTACAGTTTGTTCATTAGGTTACCCATCATGATCAATCAAGGTATGTTAATTGTGGGATGTGCATCATCACATATTCAAAGCATGACACTTTGCATACAATTCACTCCTACTAAAATCTATCTTTCACAATTTAATATGTCACCTGTGCCTAATTTGGACATGTTCAATACAATGTAGATTGTCGAGGTTTCACAAATTGCAAATTTAGTTGTGGTGAATGGCAAGCTCTTTGACAGTTTACATAAACTCAGTGTCCACACTTTGCAAATCCATGTACAAACCAACATGTATATGTAACTAGCATTCTTGCATGATAGCAATGCTTGCTTTTGTGCCCTTGACGAGATGTAAATACACTAAATTTTGTTTGCATGCATGCATGGCCCCTGCAAACATTGTCACCTTTTGTGATGTTCATACGTGAAACAATAAATATATCTCCTATTGACACAAACTACACTCGTTGCTCTGTTATGTAAATTTCTTCACAAATCCCAACACTATGGTCGCTTAGTGGGCTTATGTGTAGCACTTTTAATCACGAGATGGCGCGGGTGTGACTCCCAACCGCGGCGGCCTCCGCATTTTGATTTAAAAAAAAAAACTAAATTTATCTATATGTGCAGTAAATCTGGCCCGCCCACGATCGAAACTGTGCCGTGCAGGCGCCTTGTGACATCGGCGCGTATTGTGTAGCCAATCACTGAAACTCGATCGCGATTGAAATTGCTGCATGTGGCACCCGCATAAATGGTGACGCCGACAAGACAGCACGCCTCATAATCGCACTGTTAGTACGGTGCTCTTTGGTTCGTCGAACTGCAGAACTTTGCGCGCACGTGGTGTGACATGCATCGGGCGTATTTTCCCCGTGCACGCTCAGCTTCTCGAGCGCGTTTATAATTAGAAAGCTCGAGGCGTGTGTAGACCAGGTCGTGCGCATGCCGTGCTCTTGGCAAACGTCGCAGCGCGCGTCGGAAATAATCGCTGTTGCAGAAACGAAGCATAAAAATTAGGTAAAAATGAAACTGTGTGTCTCGCCCGCGCTTGCAATGGCGGATACGAGCCGCGCTGAGCGGGTCAGCTACAGGCCGGAGTAAAAATACACCCCCCGAGAGAGAGAGAATATTTTCGGGTCCGCGGCCGAGCGCTCGGGGCTCTGTAGGGTTAACAATTAATGCGACACCGCTGCCGCTTCAGGTTTTCTGAAAAAATCTGAACTGTCCAGTCGCTTCAGGTTCGAGAAAACGCCGAGCGACAGGCCGAGCGGTGGCTCCATCTTTCTGCGATTCCGGGATGTAGGCCACGGTCGCCGCACAAACACGCACGAATTTTTTTTACGCACGCGCGCACGCGTAAACGCGATCGGCGCATCAGGCCTGCGACACAGGAGGAGAGCGCGCTGCGCGGTGCGGTAGTGCGGCCGTGTTGTTGGTTCGATCGCTGCAGTGCCCTATCGCTCGATTCCCCTATGTTCTAGCTCTTGCCGGACGTTGTCGCACCTCGTTCCGGAACGCAACCCGGCGACTGACACGTCCCTTCGGCAGGAAGCTCCGTTTAAAAGAGAAACAAGGCTTTCGCGCTAAGAGGGCTTGGCTCCAAGCGCTTCGAGCTCGGAAGGCAAGGCCAGCGGCGGGCGAGTAGCTTCGTGCTTTCGAGGGGCAAGCGCAGGGAATGCATTGTCGCGATCCCGCACTGCTGTCGATGCGTCGTGCTCAGCCCACAGGCCAGCCTGACAGGTTCGCAAAGCGCGTCGTGCTGCACCGAAAGGTAAGCTTGATGTGCGTCGCACGTCGGCGCCGAGTCGATATTTGCGCTGTTCATATTAAAAAAATGGACGCATCCGCAGCTGTTGCCGCTCGATGTCTTCGACGGGAGACTGCTGCTAAAGCTCGACGAAACCGCCTGGCAGCCTCTTCGAGGTGAGCGAGTTGTCGAATTTTTTTATTTTATCACGGCATTGGCCACGTATGGCTCTTCTTGCTGCGCAACGTTGCGGTTGCGTACCGTTGTATGTTTTTTTTTTTTTAATTTGTTCGCAGCCCCAAGGCGATGCCGCCATTTAAACACGTGGTGGGTTGTTTTGGCACTCGACTTTTGGGACGCGTTGTCAAGCGTGCGATTTGCCGTCACAGTTGACGTGGTTACTATAGTGTTGTCGCGACGCGCTTATCTCAACGCGCTTTGCACGGGTTGAGACGCGGCCTTTGCATAAACACTCGGTCGTCGGCCGGCCGATACTGCAACACCGACGTTATCGGGTTAAAAACGGCCTGGTTATAAGAAAAAAAGAGAAACCGGCTCGCGAGAGGTTGTTTCTGTCGATCGACAGCGCGCCCATTCGCCGACCTTCTTGCTTTTTGTACGAGCTCGATTATTTTTTTCCTCAATTCCACGCCTGCATATGCGCGTGCCGTAATTACAACGCGCGGGCGCGCATTCCCGAGTTCTTCTTTCCTCGTGCGCCTTTCCCCGGCAGGGTCGTAAATTGCGCGAGCTTCGATTGCCTTCAGATGTCCGAGAGGAGGTCACGTGACAACCCTTCCGCCGGCACAGGTGTTTGCAGTCGTCGTTTCTGAGTCAGAACTGGAGCAACAGCTGACGCCGTCTCGTCTCGAAAGGAGCTAGTTCATAAGGTGACGTGAGTCGCATGGGTAAACGTAAACAACGGTGCATTACTCCGGGATGGCCCTCGTTGTGGGTACGTGCCACCAACCGCGATTAGCCTTCAGCCCGCGGGTGCTATGGATTTGATCCAAGATCAGGAGGTGCCAGTTTCGAGATCTGCTGGCGGGCTTCCAGCTTCACATGACACGTGCCAAAGTATAATTAGCAACAGCTTTCCACATCCTCGCGCTTGCATTGTTTGTTCTTCGCAACGGCATCTTTTACTTTCAGTTCCACGCACTGCTTCCGTGGTGCTAAGCGAGCTGTTTGTTTACCGCAGTTTGATGGGTCAAGACCTTTTAAAGGAGTGGTGGGCTGGTAAGAGTTTCGTGGAGTGAATGTGCGTGTGTTTCCTTCTTTTTGACGGCACATACAGTTCCGCAGCCTAATACATTCAGGTGTTTTTATTTGCCTATCTTGTTTTATTCAGCAGGGGGCCCTGGGGATGATGGTGATGCCCTACGTTGTCGGTAGAACATGCAATGCATAAATTGCGCAAAGGAGATATTATGACTACATTTTTTTTTTTCAGATAAATCTGTGTAGGCTTGTGACGTGCTCAATTTTTGCACGGCAAAAGAGAAGGCTAAAATAAAGGAGCAGTCATTGTGATTAAATATTGCTCGTTGTTTAAGGCAAGCACAACAACCGCTGGTAACATTACCTGTAAATTTCTCCTTAATTATCGAAGCTTAGTGAAGTACAGTGTTAGCTAAAACGAAGTAAATCTTTGCCTGGAAGAGAGAATTGGTGAAGATGTTCCACATAGGTCATTGTCATTATAAATTGTGCCCAATGCTGGGCAATGTATATTTGGTTCCCTGTTATGCTTTAAGCACTTAATTTGTATCATATCTTTTTATGGTATCTGTTTGCTCCATCTTCACACTATGTAATGCCTTTAATGGTTCTGTAAATGATGTTGACGGTGTAAGTATTAGGGTTCATGTGGGTCCTTAAAATCCCTGTAAACCCTTGAATTTGTAGAGTTCATTTTCAAGGCCCTGAAAGTGCTGGAGCTTTCACAAATCCTTGGAAATCCTTGCATTTTCTTTTTTTTTTAAAATAAACATCGATGCACATTTCACAGTGCATTATTTGTGATGCTGTAAATGTAGCACGTAACATATGTAATGTGCCCATCACTAAATAATTGTGAACATGAGTAGCTTATGCACGTTACCAACATTGCGCATTCCCGGAAACTCGGAAAAAGTAGGATCAGAAGGATGAGAAACAGAAAAAGAAATGTAGCATTGAAAAGGAAGTCGAAATGCTTACTAAAAAAAGAAACTAGAAGCTGTAGCTGCTGAAGAATCAACAGCTACAGCAGGCCCATATGCCGAAAAGGCAGAGACAATTCGCGACCTTATTTGCATCATCATGTGAAACAGCCTTAGGAAGACTGACGAGACCAAGCAACTGGAGCAACAAGACCAAGCCACAAGTCATTGCGTAATAATCGTTCCTTAGTTTTTCCTTTCGGAATAAAAGTTAGCTACTTGTGTCGGGCTGAAAGTATGCAACTTTAAGAAACTATTATTGAAAGTTGTTTAGAAAGAAAATGTCATTGGAGCCATGGTCTTGACGTCTGCTCCGGTGATGTTACCCTTTTTTCGGTGAATTCTAGTTATTTCAAGCCTCCATCCTTCTCTTAACATGCGTTAGTTGGGTTTCTAACAGATAATGTGGTCCTTGAAAACTTGCACACATAACCTTGAAAGACCTTGAAAACCCTTGAGTTTTTGTAATGTAAACGAGCGGGAACCGTGAGAAACAGAACAAGTGACTATGCAACAGCACATCGAAACCTCTTCCCAAAAATCTTTTGAGTACCAAGTACTAATATTTTGCATTTAGTATCAGCTCATGCTTTTCCATGTGCTTGTATGAAAGTGCTCAAAAATACGATAGTACCAACTTCTCATGATCAAAGACTGTACATATCTGGTGTGTTTGCAAACAGCATAAATGGAGCACTGATCATTGACATACCTATCTGACACTTTTGAGTACCAAGTACTAATACTTTGCATTTAGCATCAGCTCATGCTTTTCCATGTGCTTGCATGAAAGTGCTAAAAACACGATAATACCCACTTCTCATGATCAAAAACTGTAAATATTTGGTGCATTTGCAAACTGTATAAATGGAGCACTGATCGTTGACATACCCAACTGACACACCCTGCAACAGTTGCTCAAGAGTTCAGTTCCAAAGAAGGCTAATCTATTTCTCCAGGCAGTTGTGGCGCAAGTGTTTATCTGAACCGAATTATTGACCTCCATACTCCTTGGCTCTCGGACTTGTTATTGTGGCCTTTTTCCTTGCTGCAAGGCATTACTTTCAACCATTTCGTATCGCAAATGTGAATTTGTGTAGCCTCCAGTAGAACTTGGAATGTGTAAATCGGGTGCATTGCTCTCTCCATCCTAGTCATAGAGGGGTTTTGTGATAAGTTTTTGCTTCTGTGTAGCTGGTTATGTTCTTTACTGCAGTGTTAGATTCCTATTACGTAATGTATTGCATATTTGACATCTGTGAGTGTTGAGCTTTTTCAAAATTTTAGCTGTGCTTACATTCTGTATATTTATTTATTTATTTCTTTATTCATTTAAAGATACAACCCCATTGAAAATACCATATTTTCAAAAAAGAGAAAAAGTATAATTGAAAATTATAACACACAAAATAATTAGAAAACATATAATAAAGGAGCACAAGTATGCAAGTACGTGAGGCTGAAAGAAAAAAATAGATGTAACAAATGCACTAACATAAAGTTAGGTTGTGTTACAGTATACACAAGAAATGAGCCACACAAGTAACAAGAAAATGATGGTTTTAGCTCAAGACAGCTTGTTAAGCTTTAATGTTACCACAGTGAATTATACATTGTAGAATAACAAGACAAACAGGATATCACTTGGCTATTATGAAAGAGTATTTCACATATTGTTTACATATGATTCATGAGGCAATTAAGATAGCAATGTGTACATCAGGTTATGTGATAGTAGTACTTTATAAACATGCAAGAAGGTCCCACAAATTTCGTTAGTCGTTCCCAGAATGTGCTGTTTTAGGGGGTCATTCCGAAGGCACGTGGCTTAAAGAAAAGCAATTCAGTCAGTCAGTTGACTTGGCTATTTGGCACACATACATGACGTTGAACTACTTTAACTGTACTGCTGCCACATGTGTAATTATGTCTTTCTGTTTTTGTTGTGAATATGGATTATTCAAGCTCCTTAATGTTTACTAAGCATGGAAATTGCATAGCAACATGAATGCAATGTTCCGAAAGCCGGGCGAGTTTGCGATTGCGAGAGATTTATTCCGACTAAACTCAAGAAAATATAACAAAATTACATGGACGTTTTGCCCCATATGTGGGTTGCATCCACAGCATACACTGATATCAAGTTAGTGGAGGCCACCTAGTCCATTGATTTACTCACGGACAACTTCTCTTGGCAACGAAGGGAAGGCTGTGGAGCTAGACTGGACATCTGGTACCGCTGAAGAACGTAGTCTCACAATCGAGTTCACATACTTCACGCGGAAATTCTAAAAAACAACATTACTTTATTATCTACGGATGTTTATAAGAAGACTCAGCACACCAAGGAAATATTCATAATTTCTTTACTTCATGCTGTGTCATTTCGCGTCTTCGCACGGGTGAGGACGTCTCACCATTTACATACACCTCAATGTCAAAATGGCGCCTTCAAATGTCTTTGGGTGTGCGCTTGTCGCCATCCAGCTATTTTGACAACTTGGCGAAAAAACTTGTGACGAATTTCACTTGCATATGGCTATGTAAGCAATTGTAGTGAAGTGTATGCAGTGTTATTATTCAAAGAAGTACTTTTGCAGTGCAAACACGGACACACCACAAAGAAAGATATGACACGCTGTAAAAGTACCTTTATGATTCTGAACCAGCTAGGCCCAAAAGAAGTTTCATCATTGGAAGCACGAGCTGAATCGGACTACTTCGTGGAAGAGTACATGTGCAGTAGCTCCCCCCCCCCCCCCCGTTGCGAAGAAAAGTTGTCTGCAAGCATGTTCACTAATGTCCCTGTAAATGTATTTAATAGAAGGCCACAATTGTTGTTGCATGCCGATTTGTCGTGACGAATGAACTTGCTTTTCTATCATCTTTGTTCCCAAGCCAGTGTCGTTGCATTGTGAAGTCAAAGGTATGTCCTGTTCAACAGTGTTCAAGGAGCTCTGTCTTGGAAAGTG